TTTTTGCTCCACTTCTTTCCAAAAAAAAGTCTACCGAACACGATATTTTTGCCCTTCCTAATTCTTTTCATTTCTCTAGTTAAATTGGACTTCACAACATAGGTATAAGTGTTGTTTGTTTTTTAGTGCAAAAGCTCTACAATTTGTGGATCATATGTAGACTTTTGAAATTGAAAATGTGGACCAAACTTCCGAAAGCCTAAAAAAAAAAAAAAAAAACTGTTTGTTTTTTAATTTTTGTAATGCTATTAAAATCAACTAAAAGTTTTAATAAACTGATTTTTAAACTTAAAAAAGTTTTTCAATACTGAAATTTAAATAGTTTACAACATTAAAATATTCTATCAAATTCAAAATCATTTCAATTTCAATTCATTTAAGAGATTTCATATTGAATCATAGAGACCATTTGCCTTTGGTCAATATTTTCTATAATAAAATCTAGGTGTTTAATCCGATTTAATCATTTATGTTTTTTTTTTGTGCAATAAGTCGTTTAACTTTTACTGTAAATGTCAATAAAATCATTGTCGTTAGTTTTTAACCATTCTCCCGTTAACAAATTATTCGAAGTTACACGAATGACCCCTATGGTTTAAATTTCTTTTGTAGTTGGTTCCCACTCAACATTGTTCATCATCAACACCACCGTTCATTTTCGATAGCCACCACCGTTCATCTCCAGGGTTGTCGATTGCCACGTATTACCTGCATCCTCCAGCGACGAGATACGACCTTACATCATGTCAACTTCAAAATCTAAGTCTCCCTCAAAAGCCATAATCATCTTCAAAAGAACTTGAATCAATGTCCGCCCTACACCCGTCGTCCCCTCATTTTCATCTTGTTGACCAAACCCCGAGTTGTCGGAAATTCTAAAACCGTTAAAGGGACAAAACTCAAGATCTAGCAACATAGAGGAATAAAAATCGGATCTTGGACACTTACAAAGGTCTAGAATAGTGCCAAATTGAAAGATGAGGGCTTGCTTGCTGGATCCTTGCTTCCTTCTTCCAACTTCTTTCTTCTTTAGCTCCAAAAACACCATACTAGGTCACAAATAAGAGGGAAAGATGGTTAGGGTTTTCAAAGGTCGAAATGGGGGATTGGAGGCTGGTAAAAGGCCAACTCTTGGGACTTAAGGAGATTATATAGTGTGCAAAACCATACCTTATCACTCTAGGACTCAACATTCTCACAACATGGCCTGACAAAGTAGGCCCCTCCGACCTCGCATCAGACAACCGGAAAACAGAATTCAACATTTTATGAGACACATCCATGGCTTGCCCGCATGTTTCCAGACTCGACGCCCTGTTAAAAGTAGCCCAGTTGCGATAAAATTGGTGTTGATAGCAACAGCTTACACACTAGACAATCGTAGGGAAACGATGATAGATGAATCCACAAGAAACTCATCCACAGTGATGGATTTTAGGGCAGGACACGTTCACCCACAAAAGTCCATAGATCCAGGATTAGTATACGATATCATTTCATACGATTACATAGATTTCCTATGTAATTCCAACTACACAACAAAAAACATCCAAGTGATTACCAGGAAGCATGCTGATTGCAGTCAGGCAAAAAAAGCAAGACACACCGGAAACCTAAATTTTCCATCAATAACTATTGTGTTCCAACTAAGCAAGAAATAGAAAATGTCAACACATTTCATAATAACAGTGACGAAAGTGGGTAAAGCAAAATTTGTTTACACTGTGAGCATAAAGTCACCGAGAGGGATAAACGTGACAATGGAGCCGATGAAGCTTGCTTTTAGGGGGTGGGGCAGAAACTGAACTTTTTGGTTCGGGTGAAAGTGGTGGCGATGAAGTTGTCTGTTAGACGAGAAGCATGTTTTTAGGAGTCTGGTGGTTGTGACCAAATACGAAAGAAATTTAAACCATAGGGGGCATTCGTGTAATCTTGAATAACTAGTTAACGGAAGAATGATTAAATTGAAACAAACACCTAAGTTCATTATGCTACAATGATATTTTCCCTTTTTGAAATTAAATTTTTATGACCTTATTATAAATAGTAAACAAATCTAAATTGAATTTTTTATCGTATGACACTTTCATTTTTCATAACCATTTTTTTTATTTTATTTCTTGATTGTGACATGATATTATGACTACGGTGTCCGCCTAAATTATTTTATATTTTAATGGCAATATGATAATTAGATCGTTTTAAATAGTGTGTTGTAATATAAAATATGAAATTAAAATGGTATGAATAAATGGATATATTTGATATATATAATATATTGTATTTCGTTGTGGTTAAAATGGAGGGAAAATCGAACAAAAAGTGTTAATGTCTTGTAGTTAAAATGGAGGGTCGAACAAGAAGTATTAATGTTTGAAAAGGTTAACCTTAGTTGATTGAGTTATTGACATAAAAATCCTTAAGTTTTTTAATTTTTGTTGGTTTTGTTTTTACATCGATTTTAGGTGCGTTAAAACCTAATATTTTTAAATTTTTGTTCATTTTTGCCACTTAAGCGGAATTTTACCTTCTACAACAATTAACCTTAGTTGACTGGGACGGTTTACAGGTGTATATTTGTTCATTTTTTTGGCAATATCTATTTAACATCTTGTTCATATATGTTAATTCTCAATTTGGATATTTATATTCATTTATTTGTATATGATTCTTGTTCATATATGTTAATTCTCAATTTGAATATTTACATTCATTTATTTTTATATGATTCTACTAGATATGGATGTTTATAACTTTATATTCATTAATTTTAGTTCAGGTTAACATTCACTCGCGTATATTTGTTTGTTTATAATCATTTAAGTTTTTTTTGTTTATGATTGCTTTATCCTCAAGTTTATTTCAGTTAAAAATCTTAGCAAACATAAACACAATAAATGTAATTTTTTAAAGGGTTAATGACCTAGGAGGGTAATAAAGTTTTAACTTTGTCCACGTAAGGTCCTTAAGGTTTTTTTTTATACATATTACACCAATATAGTTGTTATAAACCGTTTAAAAAAGGTAATAAAGTTTTAATTTTGTCCATATTAGGTTCCTAATGTCTTTGTTTGTATATATTACACCAACATGGTTGTTATAACCGTTTAAAAAAAGGTAATAAGGTTTAACTGTGTCCATATTAGGTCCCTATTTTTATTATTTTTATCATTTCATCTAACTCTTTTACAATTTATATTAGTATCTAGTTAGATGACTGCATCATTTCATCTTTTCATTTTAGTCACTCATTCACCACAACAACGATTTCAATCGAAATGTTACATAATAATTTTTTTTTTCGTTTTTATGAAAAAAAAAGCTAATAATAATGAAAGTCTTAATAATTAAGACTATGTTTGCGCCACAGCTAGTTATAAGCTAGTTTATTTTTCGATATTTTTTAAGTTGTCATGTTTGACAAACCAAAAAGTAACTTATAAACTAGCATTTTAAAAAGCTACTTAGACTAGTTTTTTAAAAGTTTTTTTTTTAATTTCCAAATATACCTCTTAATTAATTAAGAAAACATATTTTTTAAATGTCATTTTATGCCATTATATAATTTTCGGATAGCTTATAAGCCAGTGACAGAGCTAGAGTCAAAGTAAAAGAGTATCTCCGACAAGTAATGAGGTATCCCCGATAAGTAATTGTCTATCGGGGATATTCCATTACTTTTCAGGGATACTCTTTTACTTTGACCTGACTCTGCCACTGGCTTACGTAACCTTTTGATTGAAACCGTGGTTGTGGTGAACTGGCGACTAAAATGAGAAGAAGAAATGATGAAGTCATCTAACTAGATACTAATATAAATTGTAAGAGAGTTAGATGAAATGATAAACATATTAAAAATAGGGACCTAATGTGGACACAGTTAAACCTTATTACCCATCTTTAAACGGTTATAACAACTATGTTGGTGTAATATGTACAACAAAAGACGTTAGGACCTATTGTGGACAAAATTAAAACCTTATTATCTTTTTTAAACGGTTATAACAACCATATTGGTGTAATATGTACAAAAAAAAACCTTAAGAACCTAATGTAAATAAAGTTAAAACTTTATTACCCTGCTAAGTCATTAACCCTTTTTTAAACATACAAACTTGAAAAGGAAAATTCAATCTTTTTGTGTTTATGTTCATTTGTTCAGTTAACCATTTGTTCAGTTATGTTTATGTTCATTTGTTCAGTTATGTTTATGTTCATTTGTTCAGTTAATGATTTGTGTTTATGTTCATTTGTTCGATTTGTGTTTATGTTCATTTGTTCAGTTAACGATTTGTGTTTATTTTCATTTGTTCGATTTGTGTTTATGTTCATTTGTTCAGTTATGTTTATGTTCATTTGTTCAGTTAACGATTTGTGTTTATTTTCATTTGTTCGATTTGTGTTTATGTTCATTTGTTCAGTTATGTTTATGTTCATTTGTTCGGTTAACGATTTGTGTTTATGTTCATTTGTTCAGTTATGTTTATGTTCATTTGTTTAGTTAATAATTTGTGTTTATGTTCATTTGTTCGATTTGTGTTTATGTTCATTTGTTCAGTTAACGATTTGTGTTTATGTTCATTTGTTCAGTTATGTTTATGTTCATTTGTGTTTATGTTCATTTGTTCGGTTATGTTTATGTTCATTTGTTCGGTTAACTCAAACAAATTGAACTTTCAAACAAACTTTTTCTCAGCAAAAAGTGCAATAAATTACTGTTCATTATTGAAGGGTTTATGTTTATTCACCATTGCTTATGTTCGTTTTCGTTTTAACGTCTTAACAAGCATAAACAAATAAGCAAATACGAACATGCCTTTGTTAAAGCTCATTTTCATTCATTTACACTATTATTTATCCATTACGTTCTTGATAAAGTTTATCTATTGGTTTTACTTAAAATTATTTTCTTAGAAAATTATATTATATACCAGCATATTCGCCAAGTACTTAACTTTCATGGCTAAATAGTAACTCATGAATAATTCAAAGACCAATTTTATCATCAAATTTTACCCCTATAAAAAAGTTGATATTCATAAATAATTAGCAATGCACACTCATAAAAAACAACTGTAAATTCTCAAATAAAACTAAAATGATGAAGAAAATTGTACTACAACTCAAAAAGAGGATTGCTTTTGACAAAAAGACTAAAGAAATTCTGAAGTTCAGGCAATATGTTGACAAAAACCACTTGAAAACCAGACTTTACTTCCTTCTTCTTGCTCCAACTGCATTATCCCAAAACAAGATTTAACAATGTTTAAAGCTTCTAACAAGAGAAAATATAACATTGTAAAGACTCAGATATCAATAAATTATCAATGCACAAGAATCCAAAAACAAGGTTCTTAAAACTAACTCAGCTCTAGACTATTGATAGATGAAAAGCACATATTTCAAAATCCAAATTCATGCCCATATGGATATGATAGTTACATTTTTATATGTAATACATATAGAATGAATTAAACTTCTGTAAGATTCATATAAAGATTATAATGCACAAGAAAAGGTTAAATCGATCTTTCTACGTATATCCTAATAATCTAAGAAAAAAAATCGAAAGCCAAAAGATGATTATAATACCTTAAATGTTGCTTGGGTACATGAACACTCTGACCCTTGACCCCTGAAAAGCAGAAACAAAAACACAAATTGAGATGATTTCTTAACACGCAGAGCTGAAAAACAATGATATGCAACAAAAATGTCAATCGCTAGTGATAAATACCATGGATTTAGGAGGGAGATTGGAGGTGAACTTAGCACGAACAATACCGGTGTTACCATGAGGCCTGGTAACTTTTCCCCAAATGCACCGATAGTGTGATCCGTTCTTCTTCACCTTGGCTTTGTAGACGTAAGCCATACGTTTCCCTTGATACCATGATACCTCATCTTTCGTGTTCACTCCTTCGATTTGAACCAACGATGTGTTCGGGTACTGGTTCGATTTCGACCTAACCAAAATCGTTAATAAAATCAATAAACCCTCAATTTCCAAACTTGATTTCAATCAAAAAGAAAACACAGGCAACATACCTTTTGTAGCCGAGAATTGTTCCTCGGGTGTAAAGTCTGAAAATAATCGCATTAAACTGTTAGCAAAATCATCCGAGTGTAGGAATCGTGATGATTTGAGAATCGATTTTCTAAGAGAAGCATTGTACCTGACGCGTTCACCTTGACGTCCCTTCACCATTTTCGCTTTCCAGAAGATAGACGAAAGCCTGCGCCGATGAGTATAAACCCTAGTTCCTGTTTTCCACCATGTCCTTTATATTCTCGAAGTTAAATGGGCTTTCTATAGGGTTTTTGAATTAGCTGGTGCCCGGTATTTTAAGGCCCAAGCACCCTGTCTAATGCCCCGTTTGTTAAATAACTCCCCCCCTTTTGATACTGATTCTTTTATTTGATACTAATAAACAATCAAAATACATATATAAGAATAAATCTTGATTCATTATGATTTTTTATACAATTTAATGTGTGTTAAGTTTACGAATGCAAGGGGCTTTGAAGAATATAGCAAAACCTAGAAAAATTCATAAAAACATTGTTAAATACAACACAAACATATTAATATAAATAAATCAATGTTCTAAATAACGTGAAGTGCGGCGTGGCGGCAAGGTTAGGCCTCAAGCCACGGCGAACCATGACGTTTTTCAAGGTATGATAAGTTTTTATACATTAAAAAAGATAAATCACATAATTATACAATTATATCAACTATAACAAGTTTTAGAAGTGTTATATCAACACTTAACATGAAAAAGTTAACAACAACTCAATTCTTTCATGTCTGGTCTGAAAAAAAAAACAAATAAAAAAAATTGCGCCATAACGTGTTAAGGCGCCTAGCCACGTTATTTGGGCGTCAAGCCTCACAAAGACGTTTTGCATGTTTTCGTAACGACTTCTTCGCGCCTCACGCCATGGCACGCATTGGCGTCGCCATGGCGCGTTATTTAGAACACTTAAATAAACCTTGAAAGCTACATATGCTCCCAAATAAAACAACCAAAGTTTAAAAATGAATAACAATGTCCCACTTAGGGTGCAAATGAGCCCAGCTCGGCTCAAGACTGATCAACTCGAACTCGATTTGTTTAAATTTTATTGGGATCGAGCTCGACTCGGCCTTATGGCACAAAATTAGAGATTGGCTTGTGAAGAACTATATTGACTCGGGCTCAGTCTGGGCTCAACTCATATACGAGATATCTAGTTCCTTATATATATATATATATATATATATATATATATATATATATATATATACACACACACACACACACATACATAGTTCGGTTCCGGCGAGCAGGGGTGGAGCTTGAACAATTAATTTGGGGGCCGAAAGTATAATTTTTTTTCCAGCAAACAAACAACAAAAATACCAAGAAGAAGAATTACAAACTTCCAATCATTGTTTTCAATAATTTCTCTTTCTATTTAAACCAACAGACGAGAAAATCATCTAAACTTCCATAGTTACATTTTTTAATTCTTTTATTTTTATCAGAATAATAACATTTTTGCCAACTCAAAAACTTTATCAATTTGTTTATTGGGAAGGAAAGAAAATAGGAGAGTATTTTGTAAAAAAAAAAGGAATAATGAGACCGGTCAATATGAAGCCAATAATATGTTGAAACCCTTTTTTTCTTCTCTTGAAACCTCTATTCCTAAATCATACTTGCTTTCCTTTTTCTGCCAATCTCCTCTGACACTCGCAGTCACACTTTCTTTTCTGTTCTCTATTATTTCTTTTCTTTTCTCTTTTTAGCTATAATTTTTTCTCTATTGTCTATTCTTTCTTTTCTTTTCTCTTTCTAATTGCTCATACTATACAGGTAGATTTAAAGTTTTTGCATACAGGTTTAAAATATTGCATCTTGCTTAATTAGGATTTTCATGCAAATGGGTTAAAAGTGAACCAACAATTTAACTAACAATGTTAGTCCAAGAACAAATGTATCAGTTATTTAAAGCAAGTAATTGAATATAACAAGCATAATGAGACATTCATTATCAATCAGTTAAGCTTAATCAAAGGGGCTGAGGGAATGGGGATGACGGTCTGATGCAGAAGAAAGAAGAGAGAAATTGAAAGAACATTGAACATACCTGATTCTAGTGCATAGGCGAGAGGTGGAGCTGTCAGCATTGATTGAAGATAGCCGATTGGGAGGTGCCGAGGTGGATACGTGGTGCAGCAAACAACGAATGATGGAGCGATTGAGCGAGGGTTAGAAGTATCGATGACTTTGGTTCGGAGAGCAGGGGGCAGCCCAAACAATTACTTTTTTGGGCTTAATTTGGGTAAAGTTTGATGGGCTATAACTAGTTCTAAGAAAAAAATCGGGGGGGGGGGGGGGGGGGGGGGGGGGGGCATAGCCCCTCCTGGCCCTAATGATCCTCCGCCTCTGTCGGCGAGGACTGCGAAGACAATTGTCCACTACCCATTTCGTCAACGGTACAAACGTCAAACCCAAATACTTGGTCATTGTGCGTTCGCATACGACCCACGCCCGTGGTAACTAATATGGAATCGATGATTTAATCACTTGCGACGAACGTCCATGAAACGCCATTTAAGTGAGTTTTATTATTTATTTTCGTTTATTTACGTATTTATTTATTTTTTTATTTTTCGTTAAAAAATTCAAAAAAAAAATTAATAGATATATGCTCGGTTTTAACGTTTTTAACTTTTTTCGTTTTTTTTTATAAATTATTAGTTTTTTCTTTTTTTTTTGTTTTTTTTTTAAATATCTTTGCTACATATTTGAATGTACTAGTGTTTTTCTTTATTTTTGTTTTTATTTTATGAGTTTTTTGTTTTTTTTTTTATTTTTTGATTTTTTTTATTTTTTAAACTAAATATCGGTTTGACTTTTTAATGTTTAACAATTATAAAAATTTAAATAAGAAGAATATTAAAGATCATAACATTTTACGTTCATACTTTTTTTAAATCATTTTAATTTTGAATCATAAAATTTTGAATCAAATCATTTTTTATTTATATGATTTTGGATCAATAATATATTCAATTAAAATTTGTTTTTGTTCAAAAAAAAATTATGGATCATTTATATATTTTGAATCATTTAATTTTGAATCATAAAAGATAGAACTATGAATTATAAAATGATTGAGTCTAAATATTGTTAGATCATAACAAATTAAGGATCATAAACAAGTTGAATCAAAAGTCTTTTTTGAATCATAAATATTTTGAATTATCACATTTTGGATCATATTATGTTCAACATTTTTTTTAAAAACTAATACTTCTTAAAATTAAAAATAAATACTTCAAAAACTTATTTTGAAAAATTATTTTTACAAAGTCACTAATATATTGAGTAGAAGTATCCCTTAAAGTTTTATGATTTTTGGATAATTTTTTTTTCTGGTTTTTGTGTAAAAAATAAAAAATAATTTTTTTTTCAAATTTCCATGATTGTCCTCGCAGTTCGCATTTATTTTTGAGTCCTCACTCGATTCAACTTTTATATATATATATATATATATATATATATATATATATATATATATATATATATATATATGAAAGATCAATGTAGAACCACTCGTAAGTCATAGAACCATATAACTATAAGTATAACTCTAAGATAGATATGTGAAAGGTTTAGATAAAAAGGGTTCACAATGTAAGTACACACCTTAATACATATAATCAAATACATAACATATAATAGGGATTAGATATTATTAGGTTTAGATTAATTATGAAAATTGATTTATTTATCTATTTTTCTCCCTAAATCACGACTTATGCGTTTTATTAGGGCTACTTCAAATATACTTGCACTTATAATCAACACCTAAACAACCGTGCTTCAAATCGGAGACTCCATCTTCTTCAAATCGACGCTCCATTTTTTCTTTCATCCCCAAATCTAGAAAATGACCTTCTCCCTTCTCATCCATCTCCTCACTGATGCCTACACCAAATAGTCGCTTCCCTGTGACGCCTGACCTCCGAATCTTCTCCTATCATCGACTGCGATACAACACCACCGCCAGTGACTATGGCTTCTTTCCCCAACCTTTACGATAATATCAGAAGCATACGATAGACCTGAATATCTACGGATTTCTATTCCCCTCGCGGTGACTTCTTCAATTTGGCCACCAAAATCCACATATTCGCAAGCTTATTTTCAAGATACGCTTCCTTCTATTTCGATTCCTCATCCGTTTGTTGCAATTCTATTTCCCTCTCGTCATTTTTAGACGACATTGCTTCGTAATTCAATTCATTTTCCTTTCTCAATGTAAGCTCTCTTTTCAATTCTGATTATGTAGGATTATTACATTGGCATCTTCTTCAAATCGACTCCTCCACTACAGGTTGTTTGTGGTTTCCATTTATCTTTCCTAATAGACTTGTTAGTACTTCAAGTTTAGATGTATGTATATGTTTCATGACCACAAACCTACGATATCTACTGGTGCATAAAATGTCTATTATTGATTATATTTTTAGTTTTGTGTTTGTGCTTTGTCATTTCTGCTAGTCTAGTTCATTTTAGGAATTGAAGTGTTGATGTTCTTATTTATGTTTTTCATGTTCATGTTATTTTGTTGGTGGTTGGTTCTACTACGCTTCATTAGGTCATCATCACTCCAACCGTTTTAGAGTAATGATGGTATGAAAAATGTGATATATTGACCTTTTTCCACTTGTTGGTTGGGAGTTTATTGATAATTTCATAGATGTTCACTTATGAATAATCTTCTTTCTTTCTTTTTCTCAGTTTTAACCGGTCATGAGAAGAGATGAATCACGATAGTATCATTTTATTTGTGTTTCTATGACACAACGATATTAGACTACAAGATATTGATTACACCCTTCATAAATGGAGTTGTTTAATTATGATGGAAAGATCATACATATGGCTATGTTAATGGAGGAGAAAGAACTGTACAAGCGTAGATACTAGATAGCTACCTGTAACATGCATATCAGAACATGTATATGTTCATAACTGAATATATGTGTATTAAAATTACATACTTTAGTATATTTAGGATATTTAGGCAATGTATTTAGAAAATGTAAATGTTAATAACTGAACATATGTATGTTTATAATTGAATATGTATATGTGAACTTGTATGAACATGATTATTTTTTTGGGTTTTTATAAGCATGTTCATCTATGAACATAAACATTGTTGTATAATTTTTAATGATTATAATTGCTCTCGGTATTAATGTTCATTTGTGAACA